AGCATCCACCTCCATTTCCCGGCCACGGCGAGCCCTCCCTGCCCTGCGCTCCCCAGATAACCCCGCGCTGGCACCGCTGATAGCGGAGGGGCTGCAACCACCGCTGCACCCCCGGGCTGCCCTCACCGTCCCTGTGCCGGGACAGGGGTCTCCACGGTGGAGGAGGTTGTGTTGGGGGGGATCCCCGACTCCTGCGGGCTCTGATGGGTACCTGGTGCCGCAGGTGGGTGCGCGAGTTCCTCAATGATGAGAACAAGGGGCTGGACGTGCTGGTGAACTACCTGTCCTTCGCCCAGTGTGCCGTCATGTGAGTGGGGTCCGGGGGTCCCTGGGGTGCGGGGGGACCCAGGGAGTCCTTGGGGAGTGTGGAGGTTCCCGGTGGCTGTGGCAGGTCCCTGCTGCCGACGCCTGATACCGCTCGGTCCCTTATCATCCCAAAGGCAGGGACCTGTCTGCACCGGGGTTCTGCGGGCCGCGGCATTTTCAGAACCTTCCTCCCCTCGTGCCTCTCCCCACCCCGCAACCACCCACTTGCCACCTACCTCAGTGCTTGCATCTGTGCTGGAAGCGTGTGCCCCCCGCCAGAGCCATTGCCCCCCGCCAAAGCCGTGTGCCTCCTGCTGCGCGCGTGTCCCCACACCAGGTTGGATTTTGAGGGCCTGGAAGGCGGCGAGGATGGTGCACTGGAGAAGCTGCGTGCCTGGAGCAGGTCCATTGAGGATCTGCAGCACCCCAGCTCCCTGCCCGCCCCCTTCACCAGCAGCCTGGCCCGCTCTGCCCGCCAGACCGCCCTACGGTACGTGCCCAGGGGGATGTCCCGCTGTGGGGGCACGTCCTGCCATGGGAGTACGTCCTGCTTCAGGGCTCTGGCCGGCTACAGCGCTGCTGCTTGCTGCCCGCTGTGCTGAGTGCCAGGGTGTGTGCCATGGTGTGTGCCATGGTGTGTGCCATGGTGTGTGCTGAGTGCCAGGGTGTGTGCCACGGTGTGTGCCATGGTGTGTGCTGAGTGCCAGGGTGTGTGCCGGTGTGTTCCAGGGTGTGTGCTGAGTGCCAGGGTGTGTGCCACGGTGTGTGCCATGGTGTGTGCCACGGTGTGTGCCATGGTGTGTGCTGAGTGCCACGGTGTGTGCCATGGTGTGTGCCATGGTGTGTG